CCCCCCCCCCCCCCGCTCCCACTGAAACGATCTTAATAGACTACACGTAGGAGAAGGATCAGCACGGTGGCAGGCTGGTGCAGGCAAAAATAAGGTAAAGGTTCAGTATTAATATCAAGCAAGATAACATGAAACAACAAGCAAAAATGACAAGTGTTGATTTACCTTGAAAAATATTTTAATCCTCAGTTTACTCAAGTTTACCATATCTCTAGTGCCTGATATCTGCAGTAGGCAAGGGGCGCATTGACTGCTGACAAACAACGATGCAATTGTGATGAGCATTTATGCTCAAAAACAACACAAAATTAAAGGGTGTAAAGCAAAAACTGTTGAAATACTGGCATATGACGAAATTATCAGAGACAATGGAAAAAACTTAATAAACCTTTCAGTCTTCGATAGGTTAAGTAAATAAAAATACGAAGCATGTGATAATATAATTGGTTAGTTTGATTATACCACTTATGCGTAAGTAGTCTGATAATTTTACAGTTTACAACTGGAGACTCCATCTGCTTTCTCAGCCGTCATGGAACTTTTACAAAAATTGATTGTACATTAAGTCACAAAGAAAATCTCAGTGAAGTCTAAAAGCAGACATTGTACATGCTAAATTCTCAAAACAATGCAATAAAACCAGAAGTAACAAAACTCTAAAATAAATTTAAAAGTACTGTCTGAAATAAATCCTCGGTTTAGGGATTAACTCAAAACCTCAATCACATCATGCTTAGGAATGAACTTGGTTTTGTGAAACAAGGCAGGAGAGCCCAGAAAGGCTGGGTCTTTCAACCTAGGCCCCCAATGCAACAAGCCTGTGTTTCTGGTTGCTGAGCGACTGTGCAGGGGAGGAAGACTGGCAAACCCGTAGGAGGCAGGGGCGCCAACATCAAACAGAGAAAGAGCACTGGTGTTAGAGTCCTGTGTCTCTCCCTCTTGTTGGCCACTGTGGATGTCTCTGCTCCTCCCCATTTCTGGGTCTCAGCCTGCTTTTTCAAAACTAAGAGTGCTGACCCATCAGAATGGCTAAGATCAATAACTCAACAAACAAGTGCTGGTAAGGATGTGGAGAAAAGGAAACCCTTGTGCACTGTTGATAGGAATGCAAATTGGTGCAGCCACTGTGGAAAATATATGGAGTTTTCTTTAAAAACTAAAGATGGATCTGCCTTATGACTCAGCAATTCCACCTCTGGACATATATCTGAAGAAACCTAAAACACTAATTCAAAAGAATGTCCGCATCCCTCTGTTGATTGAAGCGTTATTTACAACAGCAAAGATATGGAAGCAGCCCAAGTGCCCATCAATAGACAAGCAGGTAAAAATGCAGTGATACATATATACAATGGAATATTACTCAGCCATAGAAATGAATGAAATCTTATCATTTGTGATAGCATGGATGGACCTAGAGGGTATTATTCTCGGTGAAATAAATCAGTCAGAGACAAATATCAAATGATTTCACTTATATGTGGAATCTAAAGAACAAAATAAACAAACAAAATTGAAACAGACTCAGAGCAAACTAGTGAATGCCAGAGGTCATCAGCATTGGGGGGTTGGGCAAAAGAGGTGAAGGAATTAAGAAGTACAAGTTAGTAGTTACAAAATAGTCAATAGGAATGTAAATAAAGCATAGGGAACATAGTCAATAACATCATGATAACTGTGTGTGGTGCCAGGTGGGGTATACTGGAAATATTAAGGGGAACACCATGTGAAGTATATGATTGTTTAACCATGAAGCCGTACACCTAAAACCAACACAAAATAAAATTGAAAGAAAAACCACTAAGGGTATTGTTCTGTTTCAGTGGTTCTCAACCCTCTCCAGGCATCACGATCACCTGGGAAGTTTTTAAATAACACTGATGCTCGGCCTCTGTGCCCAGAGATTCTGATTCAGTTGGTTTGGAGAGGAACCAAGTCATTATTTTTTAAAAAATCTTCCCAGGTGATTCCAGTATGCAGCCAGGGTCAAGAACCCAGAGCTAGAGGATTTTGCAGGTTCCTCCAGGTCTGCAGTTCAGCAGTGCCAGTGAGCACCTGCCACCTTCACCCGTGGAAGGAAGTTTTAGGGGGCGAGACAGAGGAACAGTGATGCCAAACCATTTAATCAGAGTGTGCATTATCTCAAATGGTGCAGAAAATGTCAGCGCCAGTTAATATTTGCACCCAACGCGATTTAGACCCGGGGCAGATACTGTACTCCAAACCCATTGTAAACACAATGGGCCGTTTATTTGCCGAATGGTAACCACTATAACTACCTACAGGGCAAACATAGGAGGTTGTTCGAGCAACAATTAATTGTGGACCTGGAACTAATGGGACAATAATGGTAGAGTGTCACCCAGAGTGTGATTCAGAAATCATATCAGAAAACCAGCACTTTCCAAACCCCATTAGATAAGCATTTGGGGGGCTGTGATGGAACACGCACCATCCCAGGCCCTGGGATAGTTGCTCTCTGGTTTTTCTAAGAGCTCCTTCTCACACTCGTAATCGTTGGAGGCTTGAAGTATTGTTTTAATATCTGGAGAAAAATCACAAACACTAGGCTTGAGGGCACTGCAGAGAGCTTCTCTTCGTTGTTGAGCTCAGGACGGGACCTATGTGTCACCTGCAAGCGAGGGTGCTGCTGATGTTTGGGTGGTAGGATCCCCTTGGTGAATCTTGTGGACGCAATCAATCCTCTTTTCAGAAAAATGTGTCTCTGCACATACACACCCACACGAGCTTTTTCATACAGTTTAGGGGAAGCCCGTGGACACCTCGAACCCCGCATGTCCTCTCCAGGCCGTGTTTTGGCCTCTGTTAGCGGACCTGCAGACCCTGGGCTGCACTAGCTACTGCAGCAGGTCCTTCACTGCTAGACAACTCTGAATGCACGTGTTCCCAGCATGTCCCATGGAGATTTTCCTCTCTGTAGCTCCTGCCGATGGGTCCTTACTGTATCCAGAAATTTTTTAAATAGCCATTTTGTCCTCGACCGTTACCCATCTTGGGATGATGGCCCTTCTCTGCGAGGATCTCAAAAATTGGTTCCTTGGGTGGTGGCTGTCTGCCCTGGGAGCCAGACGGGGACAAGAGACAAGACTCCACTGCCCTGCTCTGCCAGAGCCTTGAGGGGAAGGAGTGCTTCTCAGGTGACAAGAGCATCTTCGTTGGCCCCTGATGGAGCCAGGACGTTATTTCCTTGGGTGCTGAAACGGGACTCTCAGAAGTGATTAGATCGGGACCTGCTGCTGGGACGGGCACTTGTTTGGAAAGAAAGCCGGGGTGAGCTCGCTTCACCCAGGTCCTTTCTGGATCAAAGACTTAAAAGAAACGAAAGAAAGAAGGGAGGGTGGGAGGGGGAGATGACGGATAGACCAGAAGAAACCATGAAGGGATTCTTTCGTAATCCCAGAGTGGGAAATACGGCACCTGACCTGAAGACATAAAATGGAAAAGTGTATAAATTCAACCACATTCAAAAAAACCTTTCAGATGGCAAAAGACACTATAAGAAACATCAAAGAAAAAAATATACAAACTGGAGAGGAGGGGTTAGTAACATATCACACAGGGCGAATTTCCTTAATAGAAAAGATCATTTCTACCATCTGGGAAGAAAAAGAATTCAAATTGGGGAACAGGCAAAGAATGTGAACAGTTTCCAGAAAGAACCTCGCTCTCCAACGTGGGAAGAGAGACTCACCCTTACTCAGAATAAGATAAATGCAAACCAGAATTATGAGATCCCATTCCCACCATCACACTGCAAAGACTGAAAAGTTTGCCCGGCACCGGGCCGAGGAAGGGGGCGCAGAGCTCGGAGGAAGTGTTTTGGAAGAGGTGACGTGTAAGCCGGGCCCCGCAGGACAGATCACTAAAATCCAATGTAGCAACTTATTGGCACTTAAAATGAAGCGATAATAAAGGGGGCGATGGGCCGATTGGACCAGTGCGTGTAAATGAGAACAGACACACAGTGTGGGAAAGCAAACACACCAGGGTATTACAGCAGCTGAAACAGTCTGCATTTGAATGCTGCGCACGTGAAAGTCTTCCTTAAACTTAATAAGAAAAGCATTGGAATAGCACTCAGAAAAGAAATAAAAGACATGAGAAAGCAATTCCTAAAATAGCACATATTACTAGTTAACGACCACATAGAAAAAGATGAAACGTTATGCATGACCACTGAATGTGATCCAGTGGTCATGCTTTTTCGTGGTTCCAGCTTTTCCGTGATAAATCATTATAAAGTCAGAATAATGTTTTATTTCCTCTGTTGACCAGAATGCAATGAAATTGGCTCTCTAACTGTACCTGGCTAGTGGAGTGTAGATTGATACAGTCCTTTTTTTGGAAATAAGTATCAAGTCTTTAAAAGTGCATATCCTTTATCTGGGAAATTCTGTACCATGGATTGTATCTTATTGGAATAGCCTGAATTTTAGGGGGAAGAAAGCTGGGCACAAGGATGCTTGTGGAATAATGGGACAATAATGGCAAATTAGAAATGATCTAAATGCCCTCAAAGTAGAAATGATTCAGTAAATTATGGTGTGCTTTCCTATACTGGAATATTATGCAGCTGTGTGAGTGTTTACAAGGCGTTTTTAACAGGATGGCTGGATACTTGTAGGATAGTGTCAGGTGGGGGGAAACAGTTTGATTACATATGTGTAACGGCCTCATGAAACTCTTTTAAAATTACTGTGCCTGCATAAAGGACCAGAAGGAAATGGACTGCAGTGTTAATGGTTCTTTGGGGAGGGGTAAATTATTAACCCATTTTTCCTACTTTCTCCTTATTTCGTGTTTTTAAAATCTTTTCTTCCATTATAATGTATTACTTTTATAGTAGAAAGGCTTCAAAGTGCCTTTCCCCGTGTGTTCGTGCCCAGGTCAGAACTCAGAGTCTCTGCTGTTCCAGAAGCTCCAGGCTCTGAGCGATGAGGCCCACCGGTAAAAGTGTCCTCCCTTTTTGTGTTTTTCAGCTTTCCTTCGCTGCGACCACGCCTGTGCTAGCCGATAAGAAAAAATACCCTTATTTCTTCCGGACGGTCCCATCGGACAATGCAGTGAACCCGGCCATCCTGAAGCTGCTGAAGCACTTCCAGTGGAAGCGAGTGGGCACGCTCACCCAGGACGTGCAGAGGTTCTCCGAGGTACGCTGTGCCGAGAGGACACGCTCTCACCGACCTGTTTGCGGCTGTCATCTCTGGGCAAGGGCACGATGGCTGAATCAGGGACACCCAAAGTCACAGGGCTTTTAAGCACACTTTTATTAGCAGTCCCAGAGCGGTTTTACCATTGACAAGGCAGAGCCGGTGGCCAAGGAATTTGATCGTGCATGGGACAGGTGGAACCCTCCATCCCAGATAGCTCAGGAGTGATCCCTCCCTCCCATTGCACCTTCAGCTGGATCGTGTGGCTTATTCCCTCCCCACCCCTGTAGGTTTGTTGTCCTTGTTACCCACGCGGTAGTGATCACCCGAAGTCACCGTATGCACCAACAGCACGTCTCCTGGGAGGGGCGTTTTGGGGAGGAGCTGACTCGGAGCAAAGACTCAAGGGTCACCATCAGTTGGGTGGGCTTTCTGTTTGTTTTAATGGCTTACAAACATACGTTGTACATGGTGATTTGTTTTTGTTTTCTTGCAAAAAAGGAAAAGGGGGAACAGCAACGCCAAAATATACCCAGTAAAAAAATAAAAGAGTTGCCAATTGCCCTAAATCCCACATTCTCTCCCAAGTGAGAGAGAATGTGGTCAGTGTTCATCTGCTCAGAACTTCTTGTGTGTTTGTTTAAATCCAATGATTTTATACTGGAGGATTTGCCTTTTCAACTTACAACAGATCTTAGAAGTCTTGGTTGACCTCATTCTTACGGATGGGCCGTGGTGTTTTATCAGATGGATGGATGATAATTTATTCAACCAGACACCTGTGGACGTTTACAGCTTTTTAATACCATGCATGCATCTAGGCATGCATCTTCATAGGCATGCATCTTTGTAGTAGATGTCTAGAAGTGGAACTACAGTGTCACTTAAAGTAATGAGACAAACTTCCTTCCACCGAGGCCATCCCAGTGATGCATTTGAAAATTCCCGTTTCCCCACACCCTTACTTAGAGTGGATATTATCAAACGTTTAAGAGGTGTTCCCACTCAGATGAGCGCAAAATAGTCTCTTGTCATTCTTCCCATTCTCCTTATACTTCCTACTTTTTTTTTCCTTCCATGTGTGTGCTTGGTACTCAGAGCCTCCCATCAAGGCAAGGCGTTCCAGGTGTGCTAAGCTGCCCAAGAGCAAGCAAAACTCAGAGCCTTGTGAGGAGGAAGTATGTGAGTCTGAGGTCCAGGCCAACCTCAGTGGGAGGATTTGGAAAGGATCCGCCCCTGCTAGTAGGGGCGGGCTGGGGGGGGTGTGAAGTTGGGGCAGAGGGGCGGGGAGTCACCAGGCCAGATCTCCACTCCAGCCCTGCACGTACCTTTCTGAGACTCTACCCGTCAGTCCCCTGGGAAGCAGAGGCCGTTCAATGCATTGCCCTTGGAGAAGTCACCTCTCTTCTCTGAGCTGCAATTTCCTCCCTTATCCCTACAGGATTCTTGCCAAAATAAGATGAGTCATGGATTTGAAAGAGCTTTGTAAACTGTAAAGTTCATGCACAGAGAGGGATGTTTTTGGAGGTGCTTGAGAAGCAGCAGTGCCCAGTCCCCACCGTCTGTGGTCATCCAAGCAAGACAAGCTTTTCCCAGGCCACACTGGCCCTCGTTGTCCCCCCTCTCTGTTTCCCAGCCCCTAGGGAGAGGCACAAAGGAAACTTGACCTCCAGTGGGAGTGACTCATTGCCAAACACTAAAGAGGCTTTTGCTGGAAGACTGCCCTCTAAGGCAGTGACGAGTGCTCTGAAATGAGTATGGAATGGGTCGATGGGGGGCAGGGGGCAGTGTGGTCCCATTAACACGGATCTGTACAGCAAATTGGAGGGACCTGCTTTTCTCCAATAAGGGTCTTTGGCTGTCAGAGCCTGAGGGGCTCTTAGAGATACCTTCCCCAACCCCCTCATTGTATAGGAGGGGAAACTGAGGCCCAGAGAGGGGATGGGGAAAAGTCCAGGTTTCCAGAGCACCTCAGGTGAAAGATTGCTCCCAGAAAAGTCAGGACTGAATCCTGAGGTCCAGGTTCCCAGTTCAGACTTCCCATTGCTCCTTCTTTCCTTCCATTAACTTCCTGCTGCCACCTGGGACTGAAGGTGACCTGGGAGATTTGAAAAACCTGATCTAAAGAGGTTAGAACCCAGCCGAGGCCAGAGGCCTGCCCCTCCAGAGTGCTGGTCAGCATTTTCTGCGTCACACCATCCCCACCGGGGTCAGGTGTGGGCAGTTTGGTAGCACGACTCTGCACCTACACAGCTGTGTGAGGGCCTTCAGCTGAGTTGCAGGGCATCTCAACAGGAAACCTCTTTTCTGAGGACAGGGTGTTGCTGGGCGGTATTACTGGCAGGAACCCCTTTTGATTTAAATCTCTCCGCCCAGCTGACTCCTGTCTGTGCCCAAGGGCTTTGCCATCCCTCTTCCAATGCCTAGGCTGCACTGCTAGAGCACAGGCCCTGGAAACCGGCCAGGGGCTAACAGCTTTTCGTGAGTGCAGAGGAAACTGGATTCCTGTTATGAAACTGGTCGATCAGCAGCATCAAGCACTTCTGTTCCGGACTGGTGCGCTGGAAGGAATGTCAAATGAAAGCAATCCTGAAATCAGAGGGGGCTGGGGTAGGGGGGAACCTTAATCCCAAGGAGCTCATTACGTTGGGCCTGAAAGGGGGGGAAGCTGAGGGCCATCCCACCCATGCGACCCGCTGCTCCTTCCAGCCTAGCATTGCTGAGATCTATGGCCTGTGCATGGTGAGCCAGAGGCTGCTCGGGTCTTGGATCAGACATGTCAATCTCTTGGCCCAGCTTTGCCATGTAGTGGCCATGTGACCCACCCAGTTCACTTCACCTCATTGACGCCAATGTATCAGGTCCAGAGCTGCTGCTAGGACCAGTGTCAGCAGCTTAAAAGGCTGAGCTTGTTTCAGCCTTGTCCTCTCTGGATCAAAGATATAAATGCAGTAAGATGGAAGGACTTGGGACCAGATGGGCTGCTCTCTAAGCCCAGCTTTGCCAAGCAGTGACCATGTGACACCAGGCAATGCGCCTCACCTGAGATCCGGTTTCCCTGTGTGAAGTAGAAGATGTATTCCCACCGCACGGGCACTGGCAGATGAGAGGGTGGGATGAGAACCCTGAATGAAAGACTCATGCACTCCTGGTGTGCGTTAAGTGGACTTTCTCTGTGCTACTCAGTCAGGAGACAGGCTCTAGGAACGCACATCCGCTCACTCAAAAACAACAGCGTAGCCCGTGATGTGCCAAGGCCCTGAGCTTTCAAGGGCCAGAGAGGCATAAACATGGCCTTGGGGTCAGTGGGTGTGAGGCCTCCTCCACAGGGTTCTCAACTCTGGCTGTTCATTAGAATCACCAGGGGAATTCTTTAAATGCAAAACAAAATTTAAATTTTATAAGTTGGTTTTCCCATCACTTTTAACAACTTTATTGGGATAATTTATGTATGATACAATTCATCCCATTGTTAGTATGCAGTTCAGCTATTTTTAGAAAATTTCTAGTGGTTTCACAACCATCATCGTGATCGGTCTCAGAACACTCCTGCAGTTCCGCAGGTTCCCTCCTGCCCCTTTGTGACCGGTCCCACCCCCGGCCCCAGGCTCACTGGCTGGCTCGTTAGCGCAGGTGGCAGACGTAAGGCCCGTGGGCCGGACCGCCTTGTTTTAGCTGGCCCGGCGCCTTGTTTCTACCCGGCAGCAGTGCTGAGCTCTTGCTTAGCTGTTAAGGAGCAGTTACATGTATACAGTCCTAAAATTACATTCGGCCCTTTGAAGGCAACCACAAGGCTAACGTGGCCCCCGGTGAAAATAAGTTTGACACCTCTGCTCTATAGTTTTGTCTTTTTTGAACATTTTGTATAAATAGGTTTATATAAGGTACTTTTGTGCGCGCTTGGCATAATGTTTTTAAGGTTTATCCATGTGTGTGTATCAGAAGGTTTTTTTATTTTAAAGATTTTATTTACTTTTAGAGGGAGGGGAAGGGATAGAGAGAACAATCGATGTACTAGAGAACATCAGTTGGTTGCCTCTCCCACGCCCCCAGCCAGAGGACCGGGCCTGCTACCCAGGCATGTGCCCTGACTGGGAATAGAACCGGTGACCTTTTGCTTTGGTGGGGTGGTGAGCACACCATTAAGCCACACCAGTTAGGGCAGAAACTTGTTTGTTTATACAGCTGAGTGTTCCCCCGTATGAATAGGTACATTTTTAAATCACCCGGGGAGCTTCACCAGTCCTGGCGCCTGGGCCAGCCCCAGGACAATTCCATTAGGTGACGCCGGCATCAGAACCTGCCCGGGCTTTCCTGGTGATGTCAGTATGTGGCCCGGCCCATGTGGACCTGCTTCTCAGCCGGCTCGGGAATTCAGGGTGGAAGTGACGCCCTCTTGTGGTAGGAGCCCTGCGCTCAGACTAGCCCAGTGTACTTGGCAGCGTGGCTGCCCTCAGCAGGCCTGGTGACTGTGGAGTGAGATTGAGAAGGCAGAGAATAGACTCGATGCGGCGCTGGTACTCTGCCAGGGGAAAGACTGAGTGGGGGCGGGCGGTGCAGATTGAGGGCGCTGCTGACAGACAGGGCGATCCGTGGGGTCCAGGACGGAGAGGGGTGGGCCGGCAGGCGGCCTGCGGGCTTGGAGGAAGTGGAGCTCTGGAGGTCTCTTAGAAGCGTGATGACGTGGGGGTGAGGGAGCTGGAAGGATGGCAGGCTGAGGTCGGAGCTGGAGGAAGGAGGAAGGGATCCAGGGGCCAGGCCCTGCTTTGTGAACAGCTAAAGCAGAGTGGGGGCAGGAGTCACCAGTATTAGGGGCAAAGAAGTCAGAGGCCGAGTGATGTTCACGTGGGCACCGCAGGTACAGGATGGAGGCAGGACTTTGGGTGGCGACGGAGGCCATGAGCAGCAGTACTTTCGGGTAGTCACAGGGGCACTTAGGCCTCTCTCCCCCGACCCACCCCCGTTCCAGGTCCCGTAACCTACTCAGCTATCTTCACCAA